AACGCCCCAGCCTGCCATGGAGTATCGGACTGGACTGTCAATCCTCCCGTCTTGCTGTTCAACTTCTCAATCTCTCAGGAGGTGCTCACCCTCTGTGGCAACAATATGAATGTAAGAGCTTTTCACTTTAAAGCAATCAACTTTTAAATTTTTCATCCTACAGATTTCCATAATGTGTGTGACATGTTTGTTGGTTAGATTACAAGTCAAGTGGGATCAGGGGTATTCTCCGACTTCTCCCAAATCCAGTTCGTTAATGTCTCTGGATTAATCAATTCCTGGGATCCCAGCACCAGCACTATCACTTACAGGCAACAACTGATGTACCAGTTTTCGTGTCTGTATCCACTGCAGTATTTAGTGAACAACACTGAGCTCAGCGTGTGAGTATAAATGCCAAGAATCTGTTTCTCGGTTGAGGTTTCTGTACTCAAACTTGCGTGACGAAGTGTCTTTTTGTGCCAGCAGGTCAGGAGTGAGTCTAGCAGTAAAGGACAACAATGGCACCTTCGTCAGTACTCTAAGCATGGGTCTTTACAGTGTAAGGATCTTTTCATTAAATAACACTTAATTAATCAGTGAATACAAGTTTATTGACATCCTCTCTTTTTTTGAATGATTTTTAGACTGCCGACTATACAACCAAACTCCAGATACCAGGATCTGGGCTGCAGTTGAAAACTCGCATATATGTGCAGGTCAAGGCAACAAATCTCACAAACAAGTAAGAATTCCACTCGCCAGTGTTATGGTATATACTATTTTACTCTTAATATTTTAAATTAGCTTTTATTTTCAGTTTTCAATTGAATTTTAGTTTAAGTATGTGCTTGTGTCAGTTTTTTTATAATATTTCTATTTAGCTCAATTTATTTTTAAGTTTTAGTCTCTTTATTACTTCTATTTAAATGTATTTATTTCAGTCAGTTGCCAATGTACAGAGCCTGCATGGCATGCAGGGGAAAAAATAAATAAAAGCTAAAACGTGCACACGATTTATAATTCGAGAGAATTAATTAGTAAATTGTGCCCACGATTTAGCAAATCGAGGGAACAAAATATTAATTGTGTGCATGTTTTAGTACATCGAGGGAACGGAATTAGTAAATCGTGCGCATGATTTATTTATTTTGTCTTGCATATCATGTGCATACCTGTCACGGTCCCGGTGTGTGGAGGCAGGCAGGATGACGAGGACGACAAAATAAGGATCTTTAATGTAGCGACAACAAGGCAGAGACAGACACACACTCGGGGTAACATTCACAATAACCGACAGGACTAGAATACAAGAGACAGGAACTTATAGGGCAGATAACGAGAGGCAGACAGGTGAACACAATGAGGGTAATTAACTAATGATTATACGGGCTAAACCAACACAAGGGGAAGAAACCACAACAAACAGTTCACAGGGGCTATTTTTGAGGAGCGGGCATTGGAGAGAGCTCTTGGGCTGGAGCCCTTCCTGGGCGGAACTGGTGATCAGGAGCCATTCCTGGGCTCGACAGGGGAATCGAGAGCCATTCCTGGGCTAAACGGAGGATTCCGAGGTCTCTCCTCCTCATTTTGATACTGACCTCCCTCCATATTCTGGCCCTTATGTCCCGCCATAGTCAGCTCACCCTCAGCCGTGATGCAGGCGGCGGAGCTCCTCTCCGCGCTCACACCGTCCACGGCTTGCTCCCTCGTGGTGGGCACGGTCACCGGCTCTCGCACCTGGTCTGACGTGTTGGGCTCCATATCCGAGGCGATCCTCTTCTCAGCCGTGGGGCTTTGCTCCAGCTCGTGGATTGCTGCGGGAAATGGCTCTCCGTCATCGGTGGGCTCAGGTTTATGCTCCGTACCGCGGGGAGATGGTGGGCTGGGCTCAGGGTCCTGAGTGGGGCTGGTGTTGTTGTCCGCGATGTCCACGTCAGCTGGGACTTGCAGGACACCAGCACCCACTCGATGAAGGCGGCGAGGCTCTCTCGAGGACCTTCCCCAGACAACTGTGCTCGTGTGGTGGCGTTTAGTCCGACTTGATAGAAGCCACAGAGGCAGTTGTCCGGGTAGTGCGTGAGGTGGGCCAGGGACAGAAAGTCGTTGGTGTGGTCCTCAAGAGAGCGTTCCTCCTGCTCCAGCTGGAGGATTTGGAATGCGGGGTAATCCATAGAAAAACTAAATAAAAACTGACAAAAATTGGAAAAAAACAAACGAGGGGAAAGACGCTGCTATACTTTACTTTTGGGTCAGTTATTCTGTCACGGTCCCGGTGTGTGGAGGAAGGCAGGATGACAAGGATACAAAATAAGGATCTTTAATGTAGCGACAACAAGGCAGAGACAGACACACTCGGGGTAACATTCACAATAACCGACAGGACAGGAACTTATTGGGCAGATAACGAGGGGCAGACAGGTGAACACAATGAGGGTAATTAACTAATGATTATATGGCTAAACCAACACAAGGGGAAGAAACCACAACAAACAGTCCACAGGGGCGTTACAGTACCAAGGCAACATTTCTAATTTTTTCTTTTTTAAGTTTTTCATCTAATATTTATATTTGATTTTATTTCAAGCAACCATTATTTCAATAGTCTTGGTTTTAGTTAACAATAACAACACTGAAACTCTTGAATGTATCAAAATTTAAATGAACAATGCTGATTATACATTTCCAGATCAATCAAATCTAATTGTCTATATTATTGTGTATTGTAAGGTTCAATGTGTTGCTGGACCGTTGCTATGCCACAACAAGCCCATATCCAACCAGCAGCACCTCTTATGATCTTTTTATTGGGTGAGTCATTCATAAAAAGCAGACTGAAAGAGAGTAGTTGAGAAGACACTTTCATTCTCTTGTGAGAATCACATCTCTTGTTGTTTTTAGGTGTAATCGTGATGCCCAAACAAAGATTGATTGGAATGGGATATCCCAGGTAGCTCTCTTCTCCTTTGAGGCCTTCCGCTTTGTGGAACACAAAAACCGGTCCATCTCCACTTTCTACCTGCATTGTGCTACCCGACTCTGTGAGAACTCCACTTGCGCCTCCTTGCTTCCGGTAACTAATCGTGCTTATCTGATGACAGAATTTCATTTGTTTACTTTTATTTTAGATTAGTTTTAGTCTGGCTCAACTCATGGTTATGTGTGAATGTGTGGATTTCATCAGACCTTTTTTTTTTGTATGTGTTTTTGTAGAGATGCGTTAGGAAAAGAGAAGTACAGTCTCCAGTGCAGAAATCTTCTGATGTTGCCACTGTCTCCTCAGGACCAATCAGCACTAGAGTTGACAACGGTACAAAGAATGATATAATGGTTATATAAAAAAAATCTAAAGTTACTGATTTGTACTGATTTCAAATTCTCTTCCACTTCTTCCTCAGGTGGCGTTGTGCCCGCTATATGTAAGAATTCACTCATTTTATTGAATTCATTAAGAACCTTATCTAAATAGTTCTATTATTATTTTGTAATTATGATGTGATTTAATATTGATTTATCTTCCTATGTGTATCTAGTATCCTCATCAGCATCGATCCCTCAGCTGACGTATGTTGGTGTAGCCACTGGCTTGCTGAGCTTCTTTCTAGTTGACTGGTTGTCTACATCGGGACTTGGACAGTGATCGACATCGGGATTCGGGAATTCCTTATCACTTGACTGAAAACAATGTTTCTTAGAAGATATCTCACCTGTTACGTAAATGTGAGAAAATATATTATGTCAGTTATTAGCACCTTAATTTTTCTATTTTTTTCTAAAAAAAAACATATTCAATATGTAGTTTAGAACATATTTTGTTCTTTTGAAAAGTCTATAATGCATGTAACACTGCTTTGGGGGAAATGTATGCACTATGAATGTAACAATTTAAGGTTTAAACTTGAATAAAAATATTAGAACCTGTCTTTGTCCCCCGGGATTTTCACTCATCCGGGTTATCAGTTATCAGTTAGGATTTCATTCATTAGCAGCTTAATGTTCAGTTAAATATTTGTTCACGTAACATCAAACACTGGTGCACAAAAAGTCTTCAAAAAAGTGAGGAGTATATTACCTTTTAAGACTATCTCAGCATAAACATGCATATGACTGACTGTGTACTACATCAGTTTCCCTTCCACTCTCGTTCTGTATTTCACTTCGCTTCGGAAACCACTTTTAATAGTTAAAAGTTGATGGTTTGTAATGGTATTTGTGGAAACCATTAGAATTTCTGTGATGGTTTCTGATTTTTTTCCAGCATTTTTTTTACTTAAATTGTAGAATTCCAAAATTTGAAGCAAAAAGAGAATTTGACTTTAGCTTTGTGAAACTATGTTACATAAAACATATAACTACACTACAAAAAACAGCAGCCGGCCGAATGAGAAGCAAATTTACTCTGACAACCATACCTTTTTCATGGTTACTGCTGTAAAAGCAGCGCTGCACTTTTATGATACTACTTTAATATGCAAGCTGAAAAGGAAATACCATCTAAAATCATAAAAAATGTGCAAAAGCAATTATTTTCAAAACGAGTGTTTTAGTATATCCAGCAGGAGAGCAGTGATGTGTGAACTGAATTTGATGAAAGTACAGTGTGTTACAGTAATGTTATTAACTATTATGTCCGATAACTGAAGTTATTAACTATTTTTCACAATAATAAAATAATTGCCAAAGCAATTCTTTTCAAAATAAGTGTTGTAGTAAAACCAGCAGGAGCTCAGTGATGTGTGAACTGAATTTGGTGAAATTACAGTGTGTTACAGTAAAGGTATTTACTTTTATGACCAATAACAGTGAAGTTAGTAACTATTTTTCATAATAAAATTTTTTTTTAAAAATTGTAAAAGCGATTATTTTCAGAATAAGTGTTGTAGTAAAACCAGCAGGACAGCAGTGATGTGTGAACTGAATTTGGTGAATGTTACAGTGAAGTTATTGAGTATTTTATTAGTAGGCCTAACATTTTTACTACACTTTGCAGACGGTCCCTTCGGACTTGTCTCTCAGACGTCAGTGCAATGATCACCCCCCGTTTCTTGGCAACTGTACACTTTTACTGTCATGTGAACATGTTTTTTGGAACCACCCATCATTTCTGCCAGACTGTGAAAAGGAGAAACACATGGGGGGAATGGAAGGCACCCATTTACGGTACTTTAAAAACAGTTTTTGGCTTGTCAAAGTAACATTTTAGCATAACAGATGTAGTGGTTGTTACATCAAAGCAAATTTATCCAGGTCTAAAAAATCTTATGATACATATACTGTAGGTGATTTAGCAACATATAAAACCATGCAAATCATTTAGCTAAATGTTAGCCTCAACTGGTAAGCAACACTAGCTATTTTTTACAAAATGGCAGCTATGGGGCAAAGTGAGCCAAATGCTGTGGGGTAAATTGAGTCACCATAAGGCACTGTAGTTAAGTTACATTTCTGAATTATAAACTGGTGTTTTAATGTGATATTACTGGTTTAGTTGATCATATATACATATTTTGTGTACAAGTGCACCAAATCCTTCTCTGATAAGAACCAGAAAATGCTTTTCATCGCATTATAATCAGATATATCTTTCCATCTGTAGTCCCTAATGGCCAACAAACTCTCTGTTTAGTCTGTTTTTAGGAAGGCTACAACTTTAGTGGTCAACATATTGTTTCAGAAATGCAAACAATTAAATATTGAAATTTAATCTTCATTTGGTTGTTTTTATGTTGTTAAAGTTAACTTCATGAAAATAAATATGACTGTTTGTAAAAGGAAATTATTAAATTAGTTGTTTAATTATTATTTATTTCACATGGGTTTGAATCAGATTTGGTCAGATGGTCATTTTACACCCAGATGGTGCATCTTACCCACTGACTCGACTCGGGTCAACTTACCCCTTACCCGGGGGAAACTGAGCAATGGGAACACTTTTATTATAAGAAGCCATATTTTTAGAACCCTTTGTCATATATACATTCTGATATACATTTAAAATGATAGGAATAGCCTACTTTCATTAGGATAGGATAGATACTTTCATACTTCTGCAGCATTTTAACTTATCTTGAGGACCACATAAGTAAAAGATGGCCAATCTTACCGCACTCTCCCCTATAAGTATTAGACATTTTATTTAATATTTTACAGCATAAATCTATATTATATACTAATAAACAACTCATTTAGAACATTTATACAATTTTTTTAACCATTTATAGGCCTACTAATATAGTTTTAATAAAATATGGTTATATTAAATATACTGTAGATTATAGATTACTAGTATCAAGACAAGTGATTATAATGGGAAATATACTTAATTACAAGAATTAAATTGTGACAAACTGCTAAATATTCTATATGAGGATTTAACTGCTGGCTTGCTGGAGCTTTGAATTCGTGTTTGCAATGTTGAACTGCCTTTAGCAGCCTCCCTTCGCTTTGTCTCTGTCTCTGTCTTCTTTTTTGCGAAGGCATTTATTTATTTTTTTTGTCTACAAAGTGTGCCAACAACAGCGAATTTTGTATTATTTATATTAAATCTGATCGGGTACAATAATTTGATTAGACATTCTAATTCTAAGACCGTGGATATTTTGTTGTTATCACTTTTAACCCCTTCAGACCAGATTTTTTTTCACTGAACAAATTTTTTTTTATCCACTTGGTATTTGCTCTTCTCCAATATATAAATAAATCTAAAAAACAAGATTTGTGCCAAATCATTTTTTTATTAGATTTTGTTCATGTCCACTATAATGGACACCAGGACTGAAGAAAAATAAAAATCCCCATATTTTAACCATACATAATAAGTAGAGCTTGTGCACTATAGTTGAACTAGTGTTTAAGTTTTTGAAAAGAACACATACTATAAGAATTAACAATGCAGTAAGAATGTGGAAAAAAGGTAAGATGATATGAAGTCTCAAAAAAACCTGTTTGATCCTTTTTTGTTGGTTGAAGTGGGTGAATCTGAGTATATGTATAAATGTCTTTGTGTGTATGTGAATGGGTTTATGTGTACTTGCTGATTGTTTGATGAATATATGATTGTGTGCATTATAGCATCAAGGCATCAGTATGTGTGGAGGGGGTGTGAGTGTGTGTGTTGCTGTGTATTCACTGATCTCACATCCACTATGGCTGTTTCTCACTAAAATCAATGAAAAGTTGATTGACAGGCTATGGTCACTTTGATGACATAAATGAAATCATATTAATATAAATTTCTATTAATTAACATCAATGTTCATAAAAACATTAACATTAGAATTTGTAGCTCTGTATTTAGTTTTGAAAAGCTTCCACATTATCATTTGATAGTCTTAATTTTATAATAGGTGCAAGTTGATGAGGCTACCATAAACATAAATCTGCATATAAAAGGTAAAATGTGGACTTCCTCCTCTTCTTGTCTAGTTGGTTAGTCATGTCTCTCTTTTGTGATGCCTGGCTGCCGCTCAATCAGATTAAGTTAGGAGTCATATCTTCATTGTGATTGGTTGATCAGGGACCAATCAGTGACCAGGCATTGCTCATATTATGAAAACATAAAATTGTATTGTTTAAACAAAAAAAATCATGTGATGTTCATTTCAATGGACGCAGGGTCCGAAGACCGAGAGCAAATCATTACCGACAGAAATACAGAAACAAACTACCAAACGACTAATTCAGCGAATCATCCACTGACTTTTATGTGGATTGTAATGCATCCACGGTCTACCTGTTAATGCAACACATTGCTTGGGAACTGTGGTCTTCACTCCAGAGAGCAGCACACAGATCGTGAGTGATGCTGCGGAGCAGGCGGGAAAACACGGAGCGGATTAGCGGAATATATATGTATAATGATAAATGGGTCAGGTAATTTAGTTGCACTAATCAGAAATCCAGTCAAATGGATGGTCATGTCTGTGTCAGCGAATATCGATTACTATAAGCATATAAGCATAAGGACTGAAGTAGTTTCATAAATGTGAATGATAAAAAAATATATAATTTAATCAAATAAGAAACTATTTCTAACGCAAGTGATTGGACGATAAACCCGAGAAAACCCCACAT